GACCGAACACAGGCTGTGGGCAGTTGGGTACGGGCAACTAACTCAGGCCCTGGGCCTGTTCTGTATGGACTGGGGCTCAGCCACTCGGGCCTACCSGAAGCTTCCGGGGTGGCCGCAGCAGCAGGCAGGCCATTTCCATTYAGGAAAGGGCCTGCCACCGCATTCGGCATTCGGGCACTGGCTGCATGCTGCGCAAGCGCTGCTGCGCTAACCCTGGCCAGCGCTCACGCGCTCACGGGCGAGCTGGAAGGAGCAGGCAGCCATAGCCGAGCTGCGCTGCTGTATGCTGGATGGGGCGCATGGTGGTTCTTGGGTGCATGTGGCATCTGTGAGTTGGGGATCGAGGTTGTGAATGATACGAGAGACATACCTGGTGCTTGAGGCGAACAGCATTGGCCGAGATCTGCTCGTACTTCGGGGAGCTGTTGACGTCATCAGCGGCATTGTAGATAGGCTAGATAGGATATGCCATCTGTAGTCTGGGTGCCGAGCGCCAGATAGGATATCGACATTGGTTCTTCGTTGATAATGATGAGACTATTCCAGCATTGTCAATTATGAGCTTTTGCTGTGCTCTTATTTGGTGAAACTCGTGACGCAATTCTGCTATTGATTCGAGGTCACGGCTATCTGGTCTCATGGGTATGATGCTGTTTGATTTCTGAAGTTTGCTATCGCTCATTTTCCTTGCAATAGTTTCTGTTCGGCTTATTTTGACTTTTTTCCGTTCTGTCGCGGAGACCTTGTCTGGGACTTTGCCTGGACTTTGCCCAGCTGGGCCACTGTGACAGCCAAAGGTGACCCAGGTGGACCGGCTGGTCGTCCCCCGGGTTATTTTGATTTTTTTCGTTTTGTCGCAGAGACCTTGTCCAGGACTTTGCCTGGACCTTACCCAGCCCGGCCACCGTGACAGCCGCAAAAGTGAACCAGGCAGACTGGCTGGTAGCCAGTTAAGAACAAAAGCGGCACTAAATTTAAATAATGGACAACGTTTTCTCATGTGCCACAGCCCGAAGACCAATTTTCTGTCTGACATTCTTGCTTGGCCAGCACAACAGGAGACCTGCTTTGTGTACGTATAGCATTCACTATATAATCTCAAGAGTCAAGAGTCCTTTCAACCTCTTTTTTTCTTGTCTTTTTTTTTTCCAAAGTACATGGTGTCGGACTGAGTAAAACCTCAAAATGATGTTACGCAATTGACACTTCATATATATAGTCATTATATATATATTATATATTATATATATTATATATATGCACCTCACTCCACTTCTCGCCACATGCACAAAAGACAAAAATATTAGGGCAGTGCATCTTTCCATGTCCTAGCTAAAGATTCATTCTGATTTTGCACATTTGGTAAGCAGTGGTGCGAAGCCGTATGCTTGATTCCTCTCCCTCTTCCGTGAGCCTCAGGTTATGATGTGGATGCAGTGATGCACCTCTCCATCCTTAAGATGCACTTGTGGAACACTGAACGTATGTCTCTGGATTGTCTTGCCTTGGTTTTGCTTCCCACTAGATGCGGGAAAAGCGCTCAACGAGTCCTTGATCGAAAATAAGGTATGGGCGACTTCATCTTGGAAACTCATTCTGAGACTGCTGAAGCCAATGTGAAGCACGGGGCACAGCACTTACATCCATTACAACTTTGACAACTGATTGTTCAAGACTAAGAGAAAGTCGGTTTCACCTATTTACACTAAGAAATAGGAGGAGGAGGAGGCTTCTGTTTTTTTTTTTTTTTTTTTTTTTTTTTAAAGGAGGAGGAGGGAGACGAGGAAGAAGAGGAACTGGAGGAGGAGGAGGAAGAAGAGGAAGAATAAGAAGTGGAGGACGAGGAGCAAGAACAAGAAGAGGTAGGATAAGAAAGCGGAGGAGGGGGAGGAGGAAGAAGACGAAGAAGAAGAAGAAGAAGAAGAAGAAGAAGAAGAAGAAGAAGAAGAACAAGAACAAGAACAAGAACAAGAACAAGAACAAAAAGTTTCCGGGGGCATTGCTACAGCTCCTTAGTGTAATACTTCATCGGTATTTTACCTCGCTGGCCGATCTTGCCCATTGAAATTTCTAACAGATCAGAACATAGTACAGAGA